GAAGCAGCGTTTTGAACGAATCGGCTCATGAGCGGAAAGCTTGGTACATCTATCGATCGCGAGCAAAACGCCCCAGAACGTCGATTCTTCCAAAACACCGATTCTTCCAATAAGAGAGAGAAAAATAAGGTATAGGGAGCAGTCCAGAAAACCAGTGCGAGGTAGAATAAGTTCCGTTTGTTCCGCCGTTCACTCAGACAAACGATCCGCTTCGCCAAATACTGCGGCTCGTCAGTGAGTTTAGGTTGACAAAGCAATGCACGAGGAAAAAACGAGAGAAAGGGCCGAAACAAAATATACGATACATATACTTTCCTCTTCGCTCAAAAAGCCAATCCCAAATCGCCGAGTACCAAAGTGTGAATGCGGCCTTAGATAACATGAGCTAACAAAAGGCTAGCGAGCTAGCAGGATCCTCTCCCCCTTCCTTGAGCAGAACAGCGCCTCAAATCCTCACATCCATCAGCTCTACCCATTCCGCTATGAAGCCATCCAGTCATTGTCTAGCTAATGGTTGCTTCAGCACCTCAGATCTACTTTATGTGTCGAATAAAATGAAAAAAATGAATGCGACCGTATATTTCCTGTTGCTATCCAAGCCGAATGATGTTCAAAAAATGTCGATGACGTTTAGATTCATATGGGGAAGAGCGCATATTGATGTGAGCTGTTTATTCAAATTAATTCGTCGGTCGTTTGCAGCGCTGCAGAAACGTTTGATTCTGGGTGGCGTTTTTTGTCTCGTAAAAACAGTGTTGCTCTGGTGGTACGTGTCGCAGTGTTTCCATGTTTGTTTTCCAAGAAACCTAGGCGCTAGCACTGAACTTGATTTACACTTCTTTTCAGTTGATTTTTTTTAAATGCGGTCCTTGTTCGACATCATTGTTTTACAAGAAAGTCTGAAAAATATGTCGCCTTACTATTAGGTTGTCCGGAAAGTTCTCAGCGTTTTGGGTGTTTCACTTTAAACGATCGTAACTTTTTTAATACTCATCGGATTTAATCGAAATAGGCACCATTCGAATCAGCACACTTTTGCCAATGTGACAGCAGTCGAGAAATCCCATCAAAGTAAAAAACTGGGTGGTCGAAAATTCACGAAATCCACGAAGGCTTTTTTGCCTGGTCCTGATTGATGAAGTATTTCCAGCAAGGAAGTTCTGAAAATGTTTGAAAAGGGAATATTCGGTTGGTGAAAGGTCTGGAGAATATGGCGGTTGAGGTAGAACTTCAACCCCCAATTCGTTCAATTTATGGATAGTGATTTGTGAAACGTGTGGGCGGGCGTTGTCATGCAAAGGAATCGGACCCTTTCTTTTGATAAGTGTTGGCTGCATCTGACAAAATTTTCGGTACAATTCGTCGATTTCTTCACAGTAGGGTTCTGCTGTGATGGTTTGGCCTGGTGATAAAAAGTTATAGTGGATCACACCAGCCGATGACCACCAAGCCGTGACCAGAATCTTTTTTTCGTGAGGGTTCGGCTTTGAAAATTACCTCGGTGGAAATCCAACCACTGTCCGGAACGTCTCCTGTTATCATACATGACCCATTTTTCATCACAGGTGACAATTCGGGCCAAAAACAGGTCGTTTCTGCTGCGCAAAAGCAATGCAGAAGGAACCTCGAGACGTGCCGATTCCTGCCGGTCACTCCGATTGTGGGGCACCCAATTGTCGAGTTTTTTCACCTTCCCAATGCGTTCCAGACCATCTGCAACAGTGGATTTGCCAAGGCCTAGCTCTTCTGCTATCTCTCGAACTGTTTGGGATGGGTCAGCCTCCAAAATCCCCCTAAAATCCTCGTCAGATATTGCTTTAGGTCGACCGCTATGAGGTTCATCTTCAAGGCTGAAATCTCCAGAACGAAATTTGTTGAGCCATTGCCGCACAGTGCTTTCTCTAGCACTATTGGGCCCCCACACCTGGTTAATTTGTTGAGCTGTTTCGATTGCGGATTGCCCCAATTTATAGTCGAAGAAAAAAATCGTCCGAAGTGCTCTTTTCACATGCTTGAAAAAATCTTGAAAAAAGGGGGTTTATCAAGCAATGGTGAAACGGCAATTATACCATCAGATAGCGCAAGAAATTCTCTACAGGATGTGCTACTGACAAGGGAAGGTCGTTCAGGGCGTGCCCCGCTTTTTCGAAACGGTTTATTGCACTTTGTAGGGCCTTGCCCATGAACCATAAAAGTGGGCTTCGTTTTGGCTGAGCGGCCCCAGGAACGCCAAAAAAGGAGCGAAAGTCTATGTACCCCCATATGAGGGACGTTAAGCGCTATACTGGCGCCAAATTGCGTCGACGTCGAAAATAAGTGTCAAAATCGTAATCAGGACCATCGATTACCCTTATGGACGAACTTCCAGCCAAAAAATTTTTTTCGATTTCTTGGGTTTTGGTGGACCATCTGGTCGGCAGTAGTGACCGGAGTATCCCATCTTCGTAAAGACGATGACGAAACGACGACGTAGCAGGCCGCCGGGCAGGACAGCAAACCTGGTGGAATGCCTCCCTTTCCTTCCTCTTTGCATGTATTTCATCGGCATTGTTACTTTTATCTTTGGAATATTAATAAAATAGGGGGTCCCTTTGGCGAGGCACTGTAGACTTCTATAGAAAGACTGTCGGGCACAACCCAACGCACACACCCAAAAAAGTCGAAAAAAATTTTTGGCTGTTCGGCGCCACCGTAGTTTATACGCCTGGGTAGCCGACTAACACATCCCTTACTTGTGTGTAGAAAACGCACCCAGAAAAAAAAAAAAATTTCCCAATTGGGAGAAACATGTCACTCCATATTAGCGATAAATGGCACCGTAGCTACAAATAAGTTCCATATATGTGATTCGGGCATGGTCTGACCTATAAAGGTCAAACTTTCAATTACCCAATTACGGTCTTGCTTAATGGTATGTAAAACCTGTAATAATTGAATAGCACTGATTCATGGAGTGTTCCCATTTAAAATGTGCCCATAAATGGCAGTTATCGAATGCATACTTACGCACAGACATATTTGAACGCGAAAACAGCAAAACATAAAAAATGCAAAAACTCGCCGAGGGGAGTTGAACCATCAACCCCACCCCAACTGTCCGCTTGAGAATCCTTCACGCTATCCACTAGGCCATCCGATCGTTGATGCTGAACGTTCCTCCGATCGTTGAAGAAACCATTCCATGAAGCCGTTCACGCTTGATTACGTGCCACAAGTAAGACCCCATACCCCGACTACTTTTCTCTTCGATTCCGATAGTACCTTTATAGGGTCCCTCCATTCAGCAACTGGTCAAAGTTTCAAGCGGTTTACAGCTCGTAGAGGCTCAAAAACAATCAGTTTCCATAGGTTTCTTTTTCGCTCCTTTTTTGGCATTCCAGGGCCGCTCAGCCAAAACGAAGCCCACTTTTATGGTTCATGGGCAAGGCCCTACAAAGTGCAATAAACCGTTTCGAAAAAGCGGGGCACGCCCTGAACGACCTCCCTTGTGAGAAGCAAGGCAGAATGAGTTTTTAATCAGCAGTGAATGTACAAAAAATAGGTGCACAAAACGCTGAGAACTTTCCGGACAACCTAATACTTATTCTGACTGAGGTTGTCTATAAGCTGTCTATTTTTGGCGGCTTTCATGGGTCGGTATGTTGATCCTTGGGCTGCTTATCCATCCAGCTTTGACACTTGCCACCAGCCCAGCCTCTCCACAGATGTACGGCCACACAATTAACATCTTTGATGAAGTCGATGGTGTATCGATTAATCAGTGAAGTACTCGTTGAGGGGCTGCAGAAGGGTCCGAGGGTTCTGGCTAGTTCTGGCTATGTGTAAGTTCGGGAAAGGTAGTGGCTGCATCACTGCAGACTAGCGAGAGTAGTATCATCAAGGGTAAGTTCAGCGATACATATGAGACCCGCAGTTGAAGCTCGTAGATACATTCACAACATAAACTCATTAATACAGTGTATTCAAGGTGCATAGGAAATCGGTGGAGAGGGGATAAACACTGTTTCTAGCCCAGATTGTAGTAGTTCTACGTCTTCAAGTACTCGTAAGCGCGTCTAAAATGTTGCACTGGACAACCAAAAAAATTTTATCTTAGTGTTGGTCCAAATGGTGCTCATGAAAGCCTGTACAGGTCACCTTGTGAGGACTTGCAGATTCTTATAGCCAACGTGACTCACTATTTCGCAGCTTCACAAGCGTTATTACGGTGAAGCAGTTCACAGGCTTCACCATAATAACGCCTTTTAATTGAGATGAAGTCAGCAAATGGAACTAGCGACAAAGCAAAGTGCCCTCCTCAAAAGTGAACAGCGTCTGTACCATCGATTGTGTAGTTAATGCAGGGGTACCGAGCCGCTTTCAGGGGGTTGTTTTGACTTACATGTTAGGCTGGAAAGAAAGTCCTGTCAGTGTTTTTTGAATAGCTTACAGCTTTCGATTCTTGATGTCGAACATGATATAACATGCTGTGAATGTAGAACGCTGTCGAGGCTTTTTCGCAAGAGGATAGAGGCGCCTGCTCTTCCTTGGTTTCAATTACGATGTCAAGTATCACTGGAGCATCTTCGGGAGGCGGTCGTATGGCGTGCCCGCCAATTGTCATATTGTTTCTGGGACGCTGGCCGTAATTGCCACCTCCACCGAGCCCCTGCAGCCGTTCTCTTGGATCGGACAACTCGTCCAAGTCACTTATCACCTTGATTCTCGTAATTGATTGACCAACACTGGTGTGACGCCAACTTGGACGCCGAATCGCGAACGGATGACTTGATCACGCACACTCGTCCGTTTCTGAACTAATCTTCCACTTCTTCCAACGACCCTCCACTGCGAATCTACTATAATTCTGCTACTTTTTATTCAATATAAAAACAAGTCACTCTCCCTCCTTCATTCACCGTGAGCGGTCGACCTCACCACTCCTCCACTCCTTGCTCACTCAACCACCGAAGAAAGGAGAGACGGTCCGGTCCAACACGCAGTTGGCTAGCGCGGACCGTATGCCAAAAAGACAGGACCGGCTTCGCATTTGCACCATGAATGTCCGTTCCATTGCCACCGCGGCAAGACTTGCCGACTTCGAAGCCGCGGTCGAGAATGTCAAGTTCGATGTCATTGGAGTCTCGGAGACACGAATGGCTGGCAAAGGAAGAATAGACCTCTCAAGTGGGTACTCTTTATATCATAGTGGTACTGAGGAACGAACCAAAAGAGGTGTAGGATTTTATGTACCGTCATCGTTGAATCAACACAGCGATTGTTTCTTTCATTCTGAACGAATGATTGAGCTTTGCATAAAACTAGCCGATAGGAGCACTCTCCGTATAATACAAGTTCACGCGCCCCATTCAGATTTTCAAGATGTGGAATACGAGGCGTTCTTAGACAATCTTGCTCATGTTCTCGATGCCAGGAGAAGTAAGCACCAAGTGATTCTGGGCGATTTCAACGCAACTCCTGGTTTACGCCGTAATGAAGAGCGATACATTGGTAACAATTCCTCAGGAGCTCGAAATCACCGTGGACAAATGTTGGCCGACTTTTGTGAGGAAAGAAAGCTATTTCTTGCTAACTCGTTCTTCAAAAAGAGACTTGACGATCGGTGGACATGGCGAAATGATGCCTTGGGACTGAAGAAAGAGATTGATTATGTATTGTTGAGAAGTATGAAGGGCGTTGTCGATGTAGGAGTGCTCACTAGTGTTAACACGGGGAGTGATCACCGCATGTTAAGATGTAAAATACGTCTGAATCCGATCTCACAACCAGTAAGAAGACCAAGAGGATTCCCCGTTATCGACAGCGACTTATTGTGTTCAACCGCTCAATGTTTACTACATGAAAATATGATGACTGGCGATACAATCAAAGATTATGATACCATTACTCGCGTCATAACAACAGCTACTCAGATGTCCACAAGGTATGAATATCTCCCACCACGTCTATCACCAAGGACCCGGGATCTCCTCCAGAGACGACGAGAGCTACGTCACGGAGATAATGGGAGGGGAATCGTGGAGTATGCTGAGATTTGCAAGCTAGCCCGAAAATCTATCCAAGAAGATTTGCGACAACGTCATCCTACTAATATAATCGGCTATGTCCGTGTGTGTGTGTGTGTGTGCGTCTGTCTGTCTGTCACGAAATTCATAGCACCTGAAGAAGAGCCTGGCGGGGTCGGGTCAGGGTGGGGATGGATAGTGCATGGGACAAAACCTAAATAGCACCCATGACCCATGGTAAGCCCCGCCCACGGTGGGCGGGGCGTGCGTCCAAATTTAGCGGTGTCACTAAAAAGTCATAATTCGGTTCCAGGGCAGTCCCGAAATGGGGAAACAGTGCAGTAGTGAAATGGCGGTGGCGTCTGGAGCATGGCGGGGTCCGGTATGGTGGGGATGGATAGAGCATGGGACAAAACCTAAATAGCACCCATGACCCATGGTAAGCCCCGCCCACAGTGGGCGGGGCGTGCGTCCAAATTTAGCGATGTCACTGAAAAAAGTCATAACTCGGTTCCAGAGCAGTCCCGAGATGAGGAAACAGTGCAGTAAAGTTAACAAAGGCCTGACCGACCAAACAGAGGAGACACACCCGAAATGGGCGGGGCGTACTTGAGATGGGCGGTGCTTCCCGTGTCACTGAAAAAAGCTATAACTCGGCTAAAAGGCAACCCGGAGATGGGAAAAAGTAGAATA